GGTTCGGGGTCTACCCAAACAGGCTTAATGAGTGCACAAAAAATGCTAAGGCAGTGTGATCCTCCCTACTTTTTCTCTGGTCCATTTCTGGGTACCTGCCCATAACACTGTGCTTTTTAAGGACCAACGGATGGGGTCCCATTGCCCCTCTTCCTCATGGCTCGTCTAAAACTAATACCTTTTCATAATTTCAGAATTGGATGCGCAGGCCAATGATCTTTCAGCCCTCTCTCGCAACTACCGGCAGGACGCAAATGCCCTCAATCTTCAGTCAGCCTACACAAAGTACCTAATCATAATCGGGGTCGTCCTAATAGTACTCTCATTTTTGTACTTTCGATTTTTGTGGTGAACGCCAGCCGCTACTGCCGCATATCCCGCCATTTCCCCTGCTTTTGCCCGCCCTGTTAAGCTCACCTGAGGGTCAGTGTTTTGGCCTCGCGCTTCATCACGTCCTTCTCTATCCCTCTTGTTCTTCCGCACGCTTTCCTTCGTTCTCTTCCTATGGATTTCGGGCAGACATGTCCTCACCTAAGGACGGGGACGCTCGAACTATGTCACAGCCGAAGAATTCATATTTTTATGCTTCGGGTTTGATCTGAGTTTAACTTTGGCGTATAAACTGGTACTCAATCTTTGGGGCTTTCTCGACTTCTTGCTCTCGGCGTAATTGCGTCGTATAAGCTCGAGTTTGATTAATTCGTAGGGAATTTGGTTAATAGCATTGCTGGAGATACAGCAGATCAGGACGGGAGGACCAAGGCGTCCAGAAAAGCTGCCGGAAACCACGTTAGCTTTTTCTCAACCAAGTTCTCGTTTCTACATTGCATGCTTCAAATGGATCTGATTTTCTATCGAAGGTAAACTCACGGCAGGGTGAGAAGTCGACTGCGAGTCGCTAACATCTGTTTCTAACTAATGTAAGCCCCCGAGGTAGACTGACAAAAACGGGGTTTACTGGGACAGCGGCGTTTTCGGGCCTGTTCATGCCACCAGCCAACTCCCCCCCTCCCCGAGCAGCACCTGTTCGCTACCTGAAGCCCAGTAGACTAGTGCGTGTCCATTCGAATAGCGAATAAGAACATCCCCCGCCTTATGTAGATGGCTCTGACGTCACTGATACCTGGGCTTTATAATTAGTCCACTCACAGGCAGTCGATACTCTCAGTTCAGCGCACCCTTGGAGCCTATTAAAAAAATTCAAGTCGACATATATCCACCTCTATGGAAAACATTTTTGCAGACCACAATATTTTAGAAAAATGCATATTGGAAAAACGTGCTATTTCAAAGTCTACTGATAATACTGTCCACGCCTCTAACCTGATTATAGGAAATAATAGGGACGGCCTGTTTTGTTATAGCGCTTCAATACAAGGTCCTGTAGGCGACCTCATAGTCATGGGTATTCAGTTGTATTACTATGAGCTATAGGGAAGGGACTGGAATGACCACTGGTGGCATATTTGCGTCGTCGTTGACCAGCCACACTGCAGTCCGAGGCTGAAACGCCCGGGCTCGAAACCGGGACCCAGTTGGCCATGAGCTCACACACTGTCCGCTTTAGTTGAAAATATTCAAGACCACTGGAGGCGTTGGAGGATTAGGTCTGGTCTCAGAATGGGATACGGGCACTACGTTTAGGCTTGGAGCTTTTGTCTAGACCCCAATGAAATTATGAGTAATCAGTAATCGAAAGGCAGCAGTGGGGAAGACGAGGTTAAAATTCCCCCTGGAGGCCGCTTCATCCCTATCAGTACTTTGAGCCTGACGATGGCAAGTAGGCCGGAAATGACCACTGCAGTGTTTGTTTACTTTGTCGTCGACATATCTTAACTAAGTGCTCCGAAGTAATGGCCGTCAGAAGACCAGTCAGTTTGCTATGCGACGTTGACATACATTTCGAAGGAGGGCTGACGTCTAATGTTTATAATTTAAGGACACTTCTCAAGCCTATGCCGGATGTAGTCTCCCTGCCTAACAGCTCTGCAGCAAGTAAGTAGTCTTTACGCTATGATAAGCATCTGCGCCTACTTTTACTTTTTAATACTCAGATTTCGGATATCGTCGCCCAGTTGTGCTCACATCATGTCTTGTAGCCTTCCGAATGAACTGCGCCGCTGTCGCATTACACTACATCAGAAGGTACGTCGCTTTCTGACATTCGTCTTATAGGCTGCGCTGAGCTTCTGCGTCCTTAACTGGCATCGTGCATGTAATGCGGCGCACGTTCCTTGGAGGTTGTACTGGTCTTTGTACCCAGTTTCGTTTCAAGTCCGCTGAAGGGGTCCGTTAGCCCACTTGAGATTGAAGAAAATGGGACCGATCCTGGCGCATTCGTCCTCATAAAATCTGAACCCATTGTCTTTTTCCTTATACTCCATCTGACGTGTCCCAAAACGCTCGACGTGAACCAGACAGCTGCCAGGTGACGGGCTACCATCGTCCTCCCTGGAACGAGGGTCAGGACTGTGATGGCTCCCTAACGCGGCCTTGGCAACGGTATAGAGAAGGAGCCCACTTAATTGTCAGTAAACTGTGGATCGTGTCATATGAGATTTTATCTCGGCATACATTTGCAGGTTGTCGCAGAAATTACACCGCCAACAACGATTAATTCCTACGACCTCACACCTTAACTCAAAATTCGTTATTTTGTGAAATTTTCTTCTTGTTTAATGTTTAATTACTACTCTCATTTTCGTTGTCGTACAAAAGCGTAGGATAAGACTTTCGGCGTAAATCCAGGCTATTTGTGTGTTTTCTTTAATTTTGTCAGCTTACTGTCTAGCGTGCTGCCCAACCCATAAAACTCCCTTTGCCATAAGTAACGTGTGGCACGATCCACAGTCTACTGACAGTTAAGTGGGGTCCTTCTCCATACTGTTGCCGCAGCCTTCACTGATTGTTCAGTTAACTACGAGAAATAACTGGGGACTAGCTCTTGACCGCACATACTGCGAGCGCCGTGTTGTCCAAACAGACTGGGTTGCTCGCTGCATTGGAGACGCCGTCTGTTTGAAAAGATCCCCATCGGAAGTTTTCGGATTAGTCAAACAAAGACTGTTCAGATCTTTCAGTGACCCAATTTCGGGCGCGCACTGGAAAGAAAACCGACGGTAGTCTGTTCCGGTATTCTGGGCAGGACTGGCAGACTGATGGGAAAGGCTGTCGTGAACTGGCATTCACACTGCGATGGTGCCATAGCAGGCCTTGATGACAGTGAGGATTTGCTACTAGAAGCGAAGAGGCGAGTTCTAGGAAGTGGTCGCGAAGAAGGCGACGCGATCGCTGGAAGAGGAGCTTTATTAGCTCGACGTTTCGGATTCTGACTCGAGTCTACCATGAGGGACAGTCAGGTGGGGGTAGTGGGCTGCCGATAATCCTGACCGGCAGGCAGCGCATAGCAACTGCATACTGCAAAACCTGGCCAGTCGGACCGTGATGCACCCGGGGGCTGCCAATTGTGATAGGCAGTCCACTACCCTTATCTGCCTCTGACGATGGAGAACCCTGACGAGTGAGAACCCTAAACGTCAGGCCAATCAGATTGTTGTTCCAGCGATCGTATCTCCTTCTTCGCGGCAGTAAGAATTATTGGCCGTCATGCCACAGGAGCTCCAGAGGACCGGAGTTTTAACGCAGTGGACAAGTCAACAAAACAGACGGTCACCAGTCCCCGGTAGTCATGACCGAATTCGAGAACCAATCACAGTGCACATGTTTGGTCGAAGTATCCACCTATAGCTCGGAGACCGGTCTGATTAGGCCTTGCCCTTAAATGAAATCGGAAACCGCATGAAATTGATAATAGGAAAGAACTTTTTTCGATGTTGATTAAAGATGTTCACACTTCGTCTTCAGTCCTGATGGCAGGATGGCCAAGCCCAAGTCATCAAGAAACGACCTCGCCTCTTCGCGCTTTTTCGATAATTACAGCGTGTGTGCCCTCCTCTCCGCGCGTCTCATTCTTCGGCCTCAATACTGAGTCCATTATTTCTTCCACCAAGAGGGGACCTCGACACAGCATTGTCTGAAGAATGATAAAATTACGTTTTCGAGGGGGAAGTAGTGGGTTGACCATGAAAGCTAAGAAGACACTGGAAGTGCTCAAGCTAAGCAGGGGTAACATTATCTGAGGACGATACATAAGACATAAATGACTATGCCAGTGTCCCTCATCTTTGTTAGTAACGGTTTTCATGTGTTACTCTCTGGCCGCTGTGACTCCACGCCTGTGCTGTAGATCCGGAGCTTCACGACGAAACGGAAATGCACATTTGGGTCCTGCAACCGGTCAATGATAACGTCACATGACCCTGCCGCGGACTCAGCTGACTATCCCTAGTGTAAAAAACACTAAAAGCCAGGCTCACCCTTTTCCCAGTCCTCCTTGGGTGAGAGGTCACTATACAGGCCATATAAATGGAAGGTGGATAATTAAGGTAGCAAATGAACGTATGGCAAGAGAGGAAAAGTCTTGGGCCAACACAGGCTGACCTTGTCCACGTCAAGATAGTCGGAACAGGCAATATAAATATTTTTTCAGCTCCGACCACATATGCGCGATTCAAGAAACTGCATTGTAGAGGAAACATGCATAAGAAGGATAGAATGGTCACACGAAAAATAGCGCGAGTAGAACAACCTTTCAGATGTCTCAGTAGTATTCGCTCTCCATGTAGAGCTGTTTAGTGGCCAAACGCCCATGGTTGCGGCCCTGCGCTCCTTTTAAATCAGCCT